GGTGCTGGAAGTTCTCACCTTCCCTCAAGGCTGCTCTCCATCACTACCAAAAGGCCACGGGCATGGGCTAGCTTCTGTATCAGTCTTGCTTCCATGTCCCTTTGACTTAGAAGCATGGCATAAGCTCTTTGATAGGAAGACTCAAAGAGTCAGAAAGCCTCAAACATTGGCATTTTGATGGATTTTCCCACTACATTTGATTTGCACACACATTTCATTATAAAACTGTTTTACATTTGAAATTTCTGCAAAAGTTCCAACATTAAAAAAACTTTGTGATTTTTTCCATTTAGTCAAAAAGCATTTTTTCCCCTCAAAACAAAGTATTTCAGAGGAAAAATGCCAGACCTTTAGTTGACTAACAGTTCTGAGGTGGGAAGGGCAAATGACATTCACAGCCCTTTTACTGATTGACTTGATTTATTAGGGTACAATTGTACCGTAACAGAAGTCATTCTGAAAGAATGCCTCATGCTCAGTTACATATTGCAAAATTTGGTGAAACAGCTCCATGGCATTTCTTTTGTAAGAAAAAAATATTTATGTCTAAAGAATTGACACCACTTCCATATGTAATTTCAAAATCAAGTTATTCTTGAACCAGCAAAAAAAAAAAGTGAAGCTATCTCAAGAACAGAAAAAAAGAGCAACATTGAGTATCTAMATTTCTGCAATTATATTTAATTCTAAGCCATTATTCACAGTAACTCATTTCAAAGGGATGGAAAGGCGGCCTCCTTCTCTATGGCCATGAGCTTCCCACGGAGAAAGCCAAGGAATTATGCACTGCCGTGAGCCTTCCACTGTTCTCAGCGTCTTGACTGAAACCACTATCTTTTTTTACAGCACAGATATAATATGACATAAAATACCGATGTCTTTCAAGCTGAATTAWGTGAATTTGTGAAAGAGGCTATCATACAACGAGTCCTACACTTTGTCAGGCCTTAATATGTTCCAGTAATTTCTATCAGAGCAGTAAATTCTGCCCGCTTTACAGTTTTCTGCAAATGTTGTATTGGGTCTGCAAAGGTTGCATCACATACATATTTGCAATGAAAGCCAAATAATTGAGTAAAAAAACTAGTTTTTGGTCTCCCAAACACACACTCTGACAAGCTCTTCCAAGTTTTGTACTAATATTTGACATATATACTATTCCATGAGCATTTGGAAAACATAAGCTCAACAAAATAACCAAGAGTTATTCAGATACCCCAAAGTGTACGAAGAGCCACAGAGCAGCCATAACTTAAACTAATTACTCAAGCTCTGGACAAGAGAACAGACCTCGTACCCTTCTGCTGGAAGCACCTACTTGTCTTTAACAGAATGGCTGCAATCCTGATGTTACTTTCCTTTGAGTTTCTGTCTTCTCCATGCAATGTCCCTCCCCATTCCCATCACTGGTTATTACATTGATTCAGCAACTGACTCCAAGGGAAAAAACACCGCTCACTAATTACCATCGAGTGGTGTTCATTCAGCACTTCAGTTTTCCTTGGAGGCTTCTTACCCAAACATGAACCCTCAACCAAAACCAACCTCAGCTGTTTCAACATTCTTTTTTTTTTTCCACCCCCCCCATATATATATATATATATATATATAAAAAAAAAAAAAGAACCAGACTAGTTGCAGCCAGACTTCTTGGCAATTTAACGTTTTTAACCAAAGTAATTTATAAATTATGCAAGCGGAATATTTATGTGAAGAATTTTGTGGGTTTTTTTTTTTTTAAAGGTGGGATTGGAACCGCTTTTATATAGTAAGTGACTGAGAAATATGAATGTTGCCTTGTGTAAACTTCACAGTAGCAACAACATTACAGAACAATTTTGCTTTTGTTGACGGAATATGCACATTTTAATTAAATATTTTAATTACRAGACAGCAGCCTCTATGGCTGTGAGAACTGAAAGAAGTTTGGGGTTTAATTTTTCCATTTGCCCTAATACAAAAAAAAAAAAGTGCAATTTAAACATAAGAGAATTAAGGAGTATTCGTTCTGCGGTAAGASGGGAAAGACACAGCAGGAACTAAATGAAGGACTTGAAAGAAGCAGGGCCGGCTGCCTATGAGGATCCCCCCGATTTGCACACCAAAGCCCCGGGACATATGGGGGAGAGTCTGCGCGGGGCCCCCCGGCGTCGCGAGCAGCCCCCGCGCCGGGGGACTTCTCCCCCAGCCAGAAACGGGGCTCGCRGCCCTTTCATGCTCCTCTGGCCTGTTTACCTTCCACAAAGGGGTCAGAGCGCAGGAAGAAATCCTGGCCCTACCAAGCTAGGGGACCTGCCACATGCGGGACTCCCGTCATCAATGGCAGCTCTGCTCACCGGCTTTAATGCAAAGCCCCAAAGCGGCACAGGAGCCCTCGGCTGAGCCCTGCCTGCTTCAGTCCCCTTTGGAAGCTGAAGCAACATTGGAGAAGCGCTCCGAGTGCAACTGGCGTGACACAAGTGCAAAGTAGTTGTCTCCAGGTTGGRTTTAGAAGATTACCAAGCAGCAAGATGTCAAACCTACACATTGCATTTTCCACATATTTACAAACAACAGTTTCAGAAAGGTATAATCGTATGCATATGGTAGATATATGTGTACACACACAAAGCGAATATCCCTTTTTTTGTTAGTGATTTCTGCATAGTTGGAGACCCTTGCTCCCCCTTCCCCTCCTGACCACCAAATTACCACTCAAGTCACGGTGCACTCTGCTGTGCTTGGAAATCCTCCAGCTCTGGACACTCCAGAAGAGTAAAGTCAAGGAGACAAAGGAAGAGAACGCAGAGATGAAGGGAACAAGAGGAAGGAAACTATCAAATATCACAACCCCAATAAACCATTACTTTTCTCCTGGATCGTCCAGGGGGTTAGTAGTACCTTAACTCCATGCCAAAAAAAACAGTAGTAGTAAATTAGTAACAAGTTAGTAAATGTACTAGARAAATGGTCACAGAGCAGATTGCTTGTAAATGCAACTTTGAATAATTTAYTCAGAAGCTCAAAGGAGGTATTAAACAGCACTTCATAAAATGCTATTTTGCATAGGGTGAAAACATGAATTCTGTCTAGATATGTAAGACTAGGGAGATAGAAAACAAAGTGTTTTAAACCACATCATATTAGCAGGAGAGCTRGCCAAGTGCTACAGAATTTGAAGTTTTCCAAAAAGGAAATATTTCAATAAAACTCATCTGCTGCAAAATCAGTTTAAATATTCCCAGCACATTTTTTTTTTTTAAGTAGAATCCCAACTTCAATGGATCAGGTAACATGTCTCAGTGAAACAAAGCATTCCTGCTTTCAGCCAAATAATGAGCAGGTTGCATTCAGGACCCTTTATTGAAAATGTGAATTGCTATTAAAGGAACACAGCAATTAAGTCACTGGGGCTAAATTGCCACAATCTCCCAATTTGCTCTAGGAGYGAGCTTTTTATGATATAGCCACCACAAAAGTTTCTTTGTGGAGACTCTCCTGCAGTGTGTCCTGGGAGAAGGCAAAGGTTTGAACGAGGCAGGGAACAAAAGCTGCCCCTGAACCTGGAGGAACCTTTCAGGATTGTCCATTGAAAGGCCTCAGATTCCCACTACCAACCTGACTCACCTTTGCCATGAAGTCACATATTTTCATTAACACAAAAGCTCCCTGGAAAAATCTACATAGTTTGCAAATGTTCCACCTTTTCACTGAGACTTTTCCAGCGTGAGGATGCATTGCTATTCCCATCCCAGCTCCATCTCCATGCTTTGGACACAGCTATGGCCAACCCATGAACACAGTAGAAGCTTCCAAAGCAAGTGATTCAGGAAGGGAGATCCCAGCTGGAGTCCTCTAGTTGCTGTTCTGCAAGATCTTAGTATAGATGCACAAATCTCACAAGTGTGATCTGGCTGACAGACACAATGGGCTCCCTATACAGGATGGTGTTATTATAATCCCTCCCTTGTGATGAAATATTCAATTTTCTTTTCCATTCTCAGAAAATAAAATAATAAAAAAAAGCTAAATTATCCAGTTTAGCAGGTCAATGTCAAAACCTCACATGAAAAAGAATCTTCCTAAGAGAGTTTGTTAAAACCTATATAATCAGGTTGGTAATGCTGCCCACAGGGAAAACCCATTAGCAGAAATCTCTAACCCATTTCAAAAAGCTAAACCGAAGTGGATTGGGGGGGTGTGCCTGTTTGCTGAATTGCAGGCAGTCCAACCCACCTGAGCACATGGTTTCATCTCCGTGCACTGATTTCCTCCTGCACGTTACTGTATTCGTGGTAGAGACCTGCTAGTGCAGCAGAGGTGGATTTAACCAGTAAAGTAGATGGTATCTTCTTCACAACTTCAGAAGAACGTTCTCAGCTTGTTTAAAGGGTTAAATTCTCCTCCTGCACTTCAACAGTCAGAAATTCTGTGCACTCTCTTTTTAGAGTACTCTTCCTTCCTCCCCAGCCACCAACACAATAGGGAAAGCTTTGTTATCATTAATCATCCTCAGAGCCCTAGGGATTGGGGGACTATGAACACTGCTGCAGTCCTGCTAGGGAAAAACCCACAGACACCAACCAAAGATTGTGTCCGAGATCACTTTTGCAGATATTGCAATGAGTGACTGGATGTATGAGGAAGAAGACATGGTTAATGGTTCATCTAAAATCAAAGAAACCAAATCTTTATTAATGATCATGGGAATTAATATTTTCAGGTAAAGGATTTGAGGTTTATTTAAAAAAAAAGATATTTCTGTGGTACATTTCCATGAAGAACCGTAATATGAAGAAAAAAGAAGGGATGGATTTTCATTCCAAAGCCAAATAATCTCTTGCACTGTGTGAAACACCCACAAGATACTAAAAGAGCTGAGTGGCATAAACAGAGRTGAAAATGCATCAAAAAAATCATTTCTGAGAACGATTGCCTTCACAGAGGACAATTTATACAAACTAAACACCTTAACTGGCAGTTACAGTACAAGTTTAACAGCATTTATTTGACTAATTTACCTTGTCAGYCTCGTAATGAATGGCTCCAAAAAAGCAGCCTGTCTTGTAATTTCT